GAATGTAAATTGGTTAAATGATTTACACTATTAACATTTATTTATAGTAAGAAATTTATTTGTTAGTTTGGGGTATGGTTGGAGTCTCGCGAATCGGAATACGCGACATCATTAGCATTAATTTACAATGTGAATGAATTTATTTGAGGTTTTGTTTTCACGACAATCTCATTAGATCCAATAGATGTTTAAGAAGAGTAATTCTGAAATCATCTGAGAAAAAGTAATTCTGAAATTTGAGAAAAGGTAAGAAAAAGTAATTCTGAAATTTGAGAAAAGGTAAGAAAAAGTAATTCTGAAATTTGAGAAAAAAGTAAAAAAAAAGTATTTCCCGGTATGATTCAAATATGTTTCAATGTATATAATGAACGAAAAGAGATTATATTTAGCATTAAATTGCTAATAGTCTCAAAAGTATTTCATTCTAATTTGTTACACTGCTATTGTCTTATTTTTCAGCTTGAAGCAAACTATTTACCTTGTTTGGTAGGCAGACAATCCATTGAATGAACAATAATTAACTGATTGTGGTTTTAAGGGAAATACTCATAACAGCGGAAATGCCTTCAGTCAATATTTGCCTTCAATTTAAATATTGATCTTTCCTTTGTGCAATGCAATCATTTCATATGTTTGAACAGTTTTCATAATGCTTTCCTAAAAGAAGAAAGGAATGAATTAATTAGCAATAAAATATTGTTGTAATTAGAAATTTTTCTTTTTCAGAAAATACAAAGTATAAATCTAAGCATAAGTCAAATATTCATAATGACTACCCAATTCAAATGAAACACATCAAATAACAAATAATTTGCGATCTTTATTTCTAATCAATATTGTCGCCATAATATTTCTCTTTAATAAATGCATTTTACATTTACATGTTTGTACTTTTAACTTACTCAAGCATTACATCCATGTCCTTTGTACTACTTTTACATCATTTTCTCAGTTCATTGTTATATTGCAATAAACAAAAGCTAACATATGACATCAGCACATTTCCCTCAACATGAAGTGAATTAGTTCGTTCTACAAATTATTGATTAGTTTTAGATTGACATATCAAATTCGCATCACAATCATTTGTTTATATTTTGTTGAAAAAGGCGACAAAAAAACTTTTTTTTTTAAATCAAAAATGTATAAGTTAACAATGAGTAGAATAGCATGTTCCATCTATCCTGTATTATGCGTTTATTCGGTAAGTTGCAACTCATTCTTATTGTCGTACTTCTCTCTTGCCTGAAATTATTCTTTGACTTCACTATAATTCCACATGATGTTCATTTGAGAGCTAAATTCACCAAACAAACTCATCCGAAGCCTCAATTTTCTAAACTTACTGATAATTTATTCATTTTCTCATCATTTGTGGATACACGGAACGGCAACATGGGTTTTCCATTTTTCCGGATTATTGCAATAATGCGATTCAGGCATTACAAATACTACTGTTTGTTTAAAAGTCGGCAAACTCATGTGCAAATTTATGTAATGGCTGAAAATCATGGACGACTGTACGGGGCATGCATCTTAAATTGTCGAATTCCGGAACGAATCATAATTACAAATTCTAAAATTGCATTAACGGATGGAAATAACAAACTAGACATTGTTCCAACATATTACATTACTGCCGGTTCCGGCAATTCATCAGCAACTTACGCTTACAACTATACCATTTGTTTACCATTTCTTTACGGACATTTCTACAGCGCCAAATATGTCATTGAAATGGTCGAAATGCATAAATTATTGGGAGTGCAGCAAATTACGCTTTATACTACAAAGCGCAAATTAAACAATGTTGTTCAAAAAGTTTTGAATTATTACGAAGCAGAAAGGTTTTTCCTTTTTCCGGATTATTATTATTGAAGTTTAATTCCCTGGAAACTTCTTGAGCATGAAATATAAATTTACACTTGTCCTGATTTGTTGATTACAACAGCTTTACTTGTCTGATCTTACAGTCTATTGATCATCTTGTTGCAAATGTCTCAAAGAAGCCTAGAAATATTATTAACAGTTGATTAGTTAAGTGGAAGAGCGGTAATCAGCAATGGAATAAATCGATCACGACGTTACAAGAGATCTAGAAGATTGTATAATAATAGTTCCTCTAACATTTGTCGGAACGTCATCACACGGTTATATCTGATGTATCATTGTATTACTATCAGAAGATAAGCTATGCTTATCCACGTCTAGAAACACAAACAGTTTGTTATTTGGAGTTAAGATAGATTTAGTCAGAAGGAAGATATCGCAAAGATTTTGTTTCAGACATTATCAGGAAAGTTTAATTTCTCTTTTTTTTTTTTTTTTTTGCAGTATTTTGGATGTGATTGATTTTGAGCAGCCAATAAAAGATGTTTGGAATCATGCGCAACTTGTTGTTATCAATGATTGCTTGTATAGGTAAACATTACAGTTATTATTGATATGTGAATGGATTTCATTTCAAAAATTTAGCATTCTAAAAGGCAAACTTTGGATTATAAATAATATCTCTGAATAAATAATCAAAATTCATAGCAACGGACGGTATTCAAGATTAAATTTCTTGGTCGCAGTACTTATCAGAAGATTTTGCTTATAGAACAATGTAATCATCCAGTACGGTGTTTTTGTTTTTGACTAAAAATAAGTAAATGTTGAAATACAGATATGGAACAGTCAAACAACTCCATTTTTGTCACACACCGTAACTGTTAAATCATATTCTCATTATTCATAAAATATCTTTCAGGACGAAAGTTAATTTCAACTGTGCAAATTATTTCAGGAATATGGGACGAGCTAAGTTTGTTTCGTTCCAGGATTGGGATGAAATTATCATGCCGATGCAGAACACTGATCTCATTTCGTTTTTTCGCAATATTTTTAATGCTTCTATAGCAAGTTATCAAATATCAACAGTCTATATCAATTATGAGTCAGTTATTTTCCGTGCATCTTAATACTGGTCTTGGTTTTTGAAACAACCTTTTAAATATAATTGAATGTCGTCAAATAAGATTTAATATAATTAAAATTTAGATTATATTTTGTGACTTGTAAGAATATACACTGAATTTTAAGATTTTACAATTATAGTCCCAACTATCCATCCTTTGCCAACAGTGTAGAGGCCAAAAGTAAACGATTGGATACGAAATGTGTTTTGCAGCCCGAAATGGTCTTTGAACAGGTTAGTCATGCAAACAGCGGGTAATTTTATTGACAAATCAGAAGTATCGTTTACAAATCTTTTCAGCGTGGGTGTTTGTAATTTTTAAAGGAACCGATCAATAATTCATTCTTAAACAACAATCAGTCCATAACATATTTGAAAAACATGAAACATCTATAATCTACAAGCACTTATAATCGTTATTTAAGCTGTTTACATTGATTCATTTATGATTTGAAATTCATTTGTATAAGGAATATGTTCACATACAAATTTTGTTTATCAGACTATTAATTGTTAAACGTAAATTTATAGAGCTATGGAATAGAAGTATGAATTCATTATGACAAGAAACTCTGCCAATCGCTTTTGCCCACATTGAAAATGCCTTTACCATAAAATATGAAAGGATTTCAACAGACGCAAAAGCAAAAAAGACTTAGAATTTCATTTTTGGCAAAAGGTGCGGAATCGAACCCTCAATGTAAAACAGCCCCCGCCGTGTCACAATCCAATAAACATACCAACCGGCCAGCAAGCAGAATTGACAGTTTCCCTAATCGATTGGTTAGATGGAAAGAAATTAAATTTGGCTATTCAGTGTTCAAGTTTCGGCTTGATTCCCTTCAATATTCGGATAATCATGTTATTAAAATCATTGATTACTTGTTATAATTGTTAAAGTAACCTTTCAAAACAGTTTGGGATAGTTTGTTCCCGAGCAAAAATTAACCTAGAAACGATAAAGAGCAAGGACATTGGAACCAAATGTGAATAAATATTCCGAATTTATGTAATCAAGAAATTTTCAAGATAAAAGTTAGTTCGGTTGGACCAAAGTCGGGAACCGGAAATTCAAGAAATTTTCAAATAACTACTCCACTAAACAAAATGAGTTTTGCTACCTTAAGAGGCATTAGCATAGGTATTTCATAAGATTATTGTTTCTAATTCTATTCTGCATTCAATTTCAAATTTGCAGGGTATCCATCATACCAGTCGAGTAATTCAGGACCATTATCTGGCTCTAAAACTGCCAAGTAATAAAGCGGTGTTGCATCGTTACGCGAAATATACGTATACTCAAACGTTTCCGATCAATACGATACCCTTACGTTACACCAAGACCTTGTCCCGGAACTGTGATATGGTGTCGAAGAAAATCTATGTATAGCGATTTTGATCAAATAAGTTCAATACAAATGATATCTCTTGGATAAATAACTTTGCTTAAGACTGTCAGTTTCGGATATGTTTACGTTTCGTTATAATCCAATTAACCAAACGAAGTTGAAGGCATAATTTTCTGGAAGTAATAGTTCTAATTTTGTATAATTAATTCGATTTATGCATTTCTTCATGGAATAAATAGGAAGGATAAAATTAAACAGATAAGCATTTCACTACTTGTCAGTATCACTATTAAGAACACTAATCTTGTAAGAACTTTAGGAATGGTTACTCGGATTAAAAGAGTTAACATTCTATTTGTGAGATTGCACCTGATTTATTAGAGCATTTTTCGCTTCCGTATCATTCATTATGCTTACAATCACTGAATAAACCAATGGAGATATCTTTTTAAATGCTTAATTTCAAGCATGAGATTTCAAAGTTTCATGTTCATCTCGTATCACTTGTCAACTGCACTTATTGGTTGCACGAACTTTAACGCTTTTCGAAAAAGGATTCTTCCCTCTTGGCGGGACTGGTGACATCGGGGGACGGGTAGTGCGGGTTGATGTACTTGCTGGCTAGTTAGGTATAGCATAGACTCGCCTAATGACATTCTAAACTTCTTAGTTACGCGTAACACCTTAAGCACGTTTATGGAAATTTGTTAAATTTTTTCGGCACTTTTGTGCACTGCTGAAATGCGTCACAATAGGTACTTTCTCACTTTAGAGTCATTTGTTATGATGTCACAATTGTTCGAAGTTAGGTTAAATTCATTCTTTCTAATTTCAATTGTTTTGCCTAATTAAATTTATTTCCATACAATCATTTGCTTGGTTACTTTTTTTGTATAAATCTGAATATTTCTCCATAATTATTTTTACGTAGTTGTTCGTTTAGTGTTGTACTTGTCGCAGTATCCATTGATTCTAAGCAAGTTCATCCTTTCCATCTTATCCCACCTATTTCGTGCTGAAACGTGATTGCGTATGTAATTCACTCTTAAATTTAGCCATTAAGCTGACTAAACTCACCAAAATCATCTGTCTTAAACACTTGAATTATTTTCAATTGGTTCGCTCACTTGGATTAACTACTATAGGAAAATATCCTGATTTGTTGATATTTTTCGGATTATTACATCGCTCATAGCTTTGTGACTAGCTGTTTGTTATTAGTCAGAATATGACAAACTATGTTACAATGTCAACTAAATATGTGTTTGAGTCAAATTTTAAGAGAATTCATATGTATGACTGGGAGAATAGAGTCACAGGAACAACAAATAAAATAAATAACATGACTAGAAATGCTTATTATGAACGGCTCCCAAACATGCCAGAAATAGTGGTGTAAGAAATTTTTGCTATGAATCTGACCTATGTCAGTCTCATTTATTCTTTTAACCTCACACATTCTTCGTTTTTTAGTTACAATATGTAGGAAATTTCACTTACTTATTTTGAATTAATATCTATCTGCATGCCTTATTCTGTTTACAGAAGGAGTTTTTGTTTTAGCAGTTCTCTTCTTCCCTTCCCTATCGGTATTTACTGCCTTATCTATGATAAATCATTTCGAACGAAGCATAACGTTGTTTCGATGTTTGATTATCATCTGAGGAAATTAGGAAACTTTCAGAGCATCTGCTGACTTCATTGCGGAAAAATGGCTGAAGAAGGTTACGAAGAGCGGCTTATTAATGAAGAATACAAAATATGGAAGAAAAATACACCCTTTCTCTATGATATGGTACAATTTTTGAGTTCCTTTTCACAACAATTTTTTTCCCAGAAATTTAGTAAAATTACTATACACTCTTTAAAACATGAGGAAAATTAGACAATAAATTCTGGAATCTTTCAAAGGTGATGACACATGCGCTTGAATGGCCAAGCTTAACCGTACAATGGCTGCCCGATGTACAGAGGTATAATTTTTAATGGTACTTTTTTTCGTTGTGTGAGGTTGAAAA